ATGCTACTGAGTACCACCCTGGTAGCTACAATGAACAATTTTGACTTGTTCTTCAATATCCCATTAGTATGATTTTTTACTGCTCAGACACTTGACTACTGTTCTACGACAGCTCGTACCTACTGACTCAAGACAGATATAGCGTAAAGTGCAATTGTTTCTGGTATAAAATACCAGTGTCACTGCCACTGCAACTGTCAGCACGCCATTTCTGGCAAGTAGATAAGTTGGTAACAAAAACGGATTGCCGTTCTGAGTCTTATCACGCTTTTATTTTCAGGTGGATTTTGCCGGCTGGAAAGTCGGTAATTAATGAACAGTATAACTGTTAAAATACTTGACGATCATAAAATGTTTGGCAATGTAGACTCTGATGTCAAAACAAATTCGTATATAACTACTGACATAGCATTTAACTGAGATCAAAAAGAGCTTTCCAAGTAGTAATACATCTTTCCATGAAATAAGTTTGAAGTAAACAAAAGCGGGGGAGAAGTTAGAGGACTCGAGGAATGACAATCACAGTGAGCAGGATTACTTAAGAGTTACGTTGAGCAGTACTTGACAAGGCATCCGTATGAGTATTGCCTCGCCGGCGCGGTGCAGCAGGGCAAGGAAGACCAGCACTACCCGGAGCTTCTGGGGTACTTAGACCAACAATACCTTCAAGAGAATTCATTGTCGAGCCTACCGAATCTGCATCCAAAGTGCCGACCAAACTAAACAAAAAAAAAAAGGAAGGGATTTCCGAGTGCGACGCAGCTAATTGCTTAATTAAACTCGATACGAAACCAAAAGAGGAACCAATTTCTTTTTAGAAGAGTGAAAGTTAAACTTCGGTATCTCATGGGAACTTTTAACAGTGCCACGCAAAAGTAGGAGCATTTGCGAGCATTTACTTGTACTGGTCGCAAGCGGCCTCAAGCTGACTGCTCTTCGCAAGAAAGTCGCCGAGTAAGCGGTGAAGACGACTATCGACCGTAATCTAAGAACAGGGTAAAAAACTGACAAATTAGATTATGATAATAGTGAGCGCCAGGAGGTTCAAAAACCTGAGTATACGCTACTCTTTAATTCCACGTTGCAATAAGGATACCTCTGTTTGCTTTTTAAGTAAAGCAATCGCCTTTTCGTAATTTTTGGTCCTATCATACAGTTCAACAAGTAGAAATACAGCATCCAGCAAATGTGGAGACAGCGACACAGCCTTAAGATTTTAGAGGAACTGAAGTAATATAATAAGAGAAGAAATAAAGCGCGATTTTAAATAAAAAACGGTATCTTATTAACTAGGAAATATGATTTTTTTCTATATTTACACTCAAACCAAACTCACTGTTCACAAAATTGTTTTTTGAAGCCTATGGTATATTCACATAAGCAAGACCTTTTCAAGTTGACTCTGAGCTTCATTCATCATTACATCGTTTTTTGCAGCTACTTTAGCACATAAGTAAAGCGCTCTAGCATTGTCCTGTCCTAACTGGTGTCGGCAGTGACTGGCTGTCAACCTCGCCTGCAACACCACAAATAGTTTGGAGCAGCTAATTTTTCGAATAATCTATGGCCCATTATTTAAAAAACTCCAAACTGTAGATTAAAGTACTTCATTCGGCCTTCGTTGGTCACTGTAAGCTTGCACAAGCGTTTCGTACAGGTCATAATTCAGGGGATCGTAGATCAATGCATCTCGAAGGTGTTGGACTGCGTCTTCATATTTTCTTTTCTCCATAAAAACTAATGCTTTCAACAACATTGCCATTGAATCAGTCTGAGAATTCGATAACGTACAAGCCTAGAAAAATTCGTGAACGATAATTTTTTAATTATATAGTATAAACTGTCAGTGCCGTACAACAGCTAAACGATAAGTTTTAAAAAGAATAAAAATAACTACTTACCTAAGACTAAGTTCAGTACTTTGAAATAAAGCAGTAACTGAATTAAAAGCAGACCTTCTGGGCAAAAAATAATGCGCTGTCATGTTTTGCTTGAGATTTGGCAAGAAAACCATAAGTGATCCATGCTTCAGGACTTTCTGCAGCCCTCATTAGATTGGCACCTAAGCTTTCTAGTTCCTTGAGTTTATGATCCTAAACCAAAACTAAACTGCCAATGTGGAGTTGTTATTAGAATAAAACAAACAACTCTTTACCACTTAATTAAAAGATGTTTTCTATTTAAATAAATGAGAAAGTCATGGGAGAAACTGCAGAAACAAAATTACTTGTGCGTAGATATAGGCAAGTATGTCCATCGAATTTGAGTAACTGGGGTCCATATTATGAGCTTTTTGCAAATAAATCGCTGCTTTTTGGCGTTCGCCGTAAATGTAATATAGCTTGCCAATCTCAACGAGTATTCTGGTAATAAAGGCAACTCTTTACAAGTTTGCTCAATCCAGTGGGGAGAAATTACACTGCGACTAGTAAATATAGGTATAATTGAATGAAGTTTCGTAAAATTAAAAAAGTTATAAAGCAGCCAAAAGTACTGGAAAACGATCTTACGCAGAACGAGGTAATTTACTACAGTGAAAAAACAACTCTGCAACATGGTATTACAAATAGAAAATATTGGCAACCAAACAAACTATCCAAAGAGCCAGTTTTTTGAATAAACTGTAAAAAAAAAAACTAGGAGCGGAGCTACTGTTTCACAAGAAACACTTTGAGGACATTACCTCAAATTGTTATCAGCCACTCTATTTAAGATCTCTATTGCTTTCGGGTAGTTATGTTCATAAACTGCTTCTTGGGCCTCTAACCAAGCCAGCGCTGCCGTCGTCAAATCATTGCTTTTCTCAAATTTGCTCCCATTACGCACAATAAAGGATAAAGAAAGAAAAGCAGATGGGCAATCTTCCACGACCTGCCTGGTAAATCAAAATAACAGTTATAGCAGCTTATAATTTAAAAAACTTGATTTGGTCAGAATATTTCAAGGTTGGAAACAATTACAGATCAGAAAGACTCAGGATTTTTCAACAACAAACTTGTGGAATAAAATTGCATTAGACGTCGTTTCACCAGATGTATTCTTCTGTTCGCGAACATCCATAACTGAGTGCAGTCTTGCTAAAGCAGCTTTCACCTTAATTTAGGAGATAAACAATGAGTCAAAATTTTAAAATATCCACTATGAGTCAAAATCAGAGCGGGAAAAGAAAGAAAAGGATTGAACTGTTCACCGTCAAGTATATACTATTAACAGTAAATTCCAGCAATAATAATAAATACTTTCGGAGTCATATCTTGTTCCGCTATGGTTCCAAGAACTCCCATTGCTTCCTCTTTCTTATTTTGTTTCATTAGACAGCCGTATAACCTATATTTCAACTCCACTTCACAGAATTTCTGGAATTTATAAATTCAATACAGCAGTGAGATAACTCACAAAATAAAATAAAAACTTTTTACTTCTCACCTCACCAACATGATCCACATGACGTTGAACAAAAAATTATCGTTTGCAATAATTTTACTTAACAAAACTTATTTTCAAATCATCTTTCCCTACAGTACCAACTAAATTTTTACTGAACTCAAAACTTATAACGGAAAAAACCAGTGCCCGATAAGATGCTACGCTACGTTAGCCTTTCAATCAAGAATTTATAAACTGTCCACTTGCACTTCGAGAAGACTTTATTGTGAAGAATTCAATAAGCATTTTAATTTTTATTTAAAGTATTAGACAAAAAAGCTTGAGACCTTGAACAGAAATATTTTCTATTAGTTCAAAAGACATTTTATTCGATGTTACAGCTTTTTACATTAGATTTTAATAGAGCAGAGATTTACAGAATTATAGAAGAACCCTCAACATTCAACTCAACGTTATTTTAAGAACAATAAAAACTTACTGGATCTTTAACAGATTCTGGTAAGGACTTCATAACACGAAGTGCTCGATAGTATGCCTAAATCTTTGATATACAACCCAAAACAGAAAGATATATCAAAAAACAACTTTGGATCAACAACCTACTCAGAGTTCACCAGTCCATTACTTCTTAAAGTTTATATGTGAATCCACAAAACCACTTAAACCGAACCTGCTGGCTTGTTGTATAATGTCCGCACTGAAAATATGAGTCTGCAGCCATTGCAGTCAAAATTGCAGACTGCTGCTTGCTAAGGCTCTGAATATCTGAAGCGCAAACTTCGAGAAGCAAAATAGCGTCCTCATACAGTTCCAGTTCGTAAAGGCTTGAAATTTTATCAAAAACAAAATCCATGCTGCAAAAGTGTAAACTAAATGAGCAGTAAACCACAAAATAGAAAGAAACAAAGCGATACTTGTCAACTAGCAACTGTTTCAAAGAACTCAACCCCGACCTACGGCTGAATTCCTTTATAGAAAAATCATGTTCATCAGCATTTCCTAGTACTCCAGAAACATTTAGCTTTCTCGTCAGTAACGGCTGACAATAAACACTAGAGAGCTCCAGACACACTTCACTACGTCGAGCACTGAATTCGCTCATCAGCTAACAATCTTTCCGTGGATACATTATGAGAAAAGGACCAAATCTCTAATATCCGCCTTGTTGTCACAGTAATGCAATATGGTTACGATGTTGCCAACAAAATGCCGATCTAAAAACAGGGAAGAACGCATCTCGGGAATCGTTTTGTAATCAAAAGAAAAATTAGGAATCATTTCAGAAATCTTTTATTTAACACCTAAAACGACACTGGGAAACACATATAAAAATACTAAATTTTTCAATAAAACAAAGGTTTCAAATAAATGATCTAATCCAAATTACTTCTCAATAACAATACAAACTACCTGCTACTAACACCGCAGCTACTCTAATAACCACCACAAAAACGGTTCATAATAGCTATACTGTAAATCTCAAGTCATAACGAAAACGACGAAACATTTGCCTGATAGGGAGGAAATAAAAGAAAACAAAAACAATTCTCAAACTGAGATCAGATTAATACACGCGTAAACATCATCTACTCCATTCAACACTGTCACCAAATTAAAGTGAGCAAAACAGAGAAATTTAAACTATTTCTTCAAAATCTGTAAGAAGTTCACTGAAAAAGCATCATCTTTGGCTCTTCATCAAAAAGTTACATAATATTAAATGCAGGTCCCTAAAACTTAAAAACTTTTTCGTAAAAATAAAAGTTTAGGATACATTTGTACAGTAGGTACAACAATTAACTTTGAAAACTTCAGGTACACTGGAAAAACAGTATTACTTTATAACTTAATCACCAAAAAATTTAAAAATTATTATATTTTTATCAAGCCACCCAAAACCTATAAAGGCGTTGATTATAGTGAGCAAAGAAAAGAAGAGAGAAAAAAGAACATTCTTTGAGGTAAAAATTTGTAAAATGTGAGTTATGGCCTATTGAAAAGAGGATTTTTGCAAGGTATGACAGAAGACATAAACTCATCAGAGGTGACACATAAGCAAAACAAATCATCTATGGAGACGCCTGCAGGTAAGTAGTTGGGACTTCCTCCCAAAAGTCCGCCAAAGCAATTCTGAATCCCGTCCATTGTTAAGACAAAAAACGGATTTTTCCTTAAAATTTTACCTCTCAATTTGAAAAATAAGGTGAAACTATCAAAGAATATACAGGAGACAAGCTTAAAAAAAAAAAGGCTATGCCCTGTATAAAACTTAAAAACCAAAAAAATAAACCTTGTCCTTCGGGTAACCTCTTTGCTTCTTGAAGTGTCATAATCATGTGAATTTGACTCATCAAAGCAGACATCCATGGCACTGTCGTCATCGAATGAGCCAAGACTACAAGAAAATGCAGAAATAAAACTTCCCATTTAGCATATGTTTAGAATTACTTCGCAAAAAATATACCAAACCTCTGTAGAAAATAAAAAGTATAGTGGAAAACAGCACAATTTCAGAGCAAGAAGCTCACAAGGAAGCCACATAACCTCGAAATATTTCAAACGATTACCAATCATTTTTCAAGCTAAAAAAAGACCAGAAGACTTCACTGGGCCACTCCATATAACAGCACTTTATTATAATACTTTTCAACCTCATTAATTTCCAAATAACAACAAATATTTCGAAAGTCAACTTTTTCGTCTTAATTACTTTTGTTTGAAGCTACTTACCAGCTATATACTTAATCTAACCCAATTAAAAACGTGATAAAACAGTCTAAACGTTGCTCGCAAATAAAGTTCGCAGGCCAGAGTAGTTTTGGCAGAAAAATTGATGGCTAATGTAAAGAAACATTATCCCCATTATAAATCTTTTTTAAAGCTACTGCTCAATAAAAGGTGAGCAGCAAGAACTGCTCTAAGGAACAGAGACTTCTAACTAGCGAAACCAATTTCAGTGACTAACTTACAAATTGCCTTTAAAAACACTTCTTTTTACAAAGCTTTAAAAGTTTTAAAAAAACTAAATCGCAAAAGCAGTCATAAAAATTAGGAACTGTAAATATAGAGAAAGCTGTTCAAAATTTAAAAAAAAAAAAGACAGAGACAAAGACTAGGTCGCCATGCTTTAGACTGTCAAAATGGCTACAATTTCCAAGTCGAAACTGTGACTTGAAAAGCACTTTTCCGACAGAACCTGCACTATTAAATGACATGTTGATGCTAACTTTTCCAGTTCATCCTCGTCAGTGTCCTCCCTAAGTCTCGCTTTCAAACACGCATCCTCAGTAAGAGCCAACCTTAAAGAAATTGTTGTGCAAATACACGAGACAGAAATATTTAATTTTTAAGCCAGGCTAATAAGCCGATAAAAACTTAAACCCTGTGGGAATTTTAAGAAGAATTTCCGCTCTAAACTTCCATATAAAGTCAAATTAAATTAGGAATGATTCTTACTTTAACTGGGACTCAGCAGCAGAAAGTTGCATTATATATGATAAGATTTTACTACTGTCAGTAAACATAGAACCATGAGTACTTTTCCCAGAATTCCTAAAAATACAATCCTCGTATTTAGAAGTTCCAACACCTCATTTTCATTAAATCCCATGTAAACAGCTGTCAATATGGTGCGTAAGAAGCCTTAGTATCTTTAAGAGCATGACATTAAAGAAATTTCATAATTCTACTATTATCATCACATTCTGATAAAATACTTAAAACTACAGTCTAGCCGAACAGGAGTTGGTAAGCAAGAGGAGCATAGGGGAAGGAAAAAGGCTGTTATCGGTATCTATACTTGCGCTTCACTACAGAAAGAAATGTCGCTGTAGAACTTTAAAGTTTGTTCGAACACACTGTAAAAACAGTTTAAAACTTTAGACAATTATTAAGTGAAATAGTGACTGCTAAATATTATGCCAACAGCTTTGCCAAACAAAGTAATTTTTGAAAAGTTCGTAATAAAATGCTGTAACTCAGCAACCGCTATAAACAGCTTATTAGCAAAGAATAAATGTCACATAAAACTAGCTGGAACAGACTGAATGCAATTTAAGTTTTCAATACCGCAAAACTTTTGGAATCAGCGAATTCAATTTCCGTCAAAAAATCAGAACTTACAAGATAAAAAATAGTATTTACCATTCTTCAAAAGCATACGTTTACTAGATCTCAAAAAGACATATATGTTAATGTTGTAAAGCCAGATGCTCGAGAGAATGGATAAATCATTTCTCTTTAATTAACTGTTGATTGAACTGCCAAATTAGACAGAGTTAAGGCAAAAAACTTACGCAGAATTCTCTTGAAATATCGTTATGGTATCTGCAATAGCCGAAGCAATTCTCTGTGTCGACGAATAAGACAAAGAATAGCTATCAAGCCCCTTAGACTTCCTAAAAAACAGAGTTTTAAACCATCATTAGAAGAAAACAAAATTGGCTCAAAAAGTGACCTAAAATTAATTAACACAAGTCCATTAACCAGTTTACATAGCCAAAAGTAGTAAAAGTGACATGAACGTTATAAAGAAGCATCACGAAGAAAAAAAACCGTTGAAACGCCAACGACAGGGGCCTGTTTCCTCGTTCGAGATGGGTTAAAAAGATTGAATCCAAAAAAGCCCTACAAAATTAACCAGTGAACTAGGAAAAAGTGAACCACAATACTCAAGAAAAATCTGCAACAAAATAAAGAATTGTAAAGCACTGCCGAATAGTTCATCCAAGCTATAGAAAATACCTCCAAAAGTCGGAAACTGAATTCTGTTCACGTTTGTCTTGGCCAAGACAATGATTTCCCACACACGAGCAATATTCGTTAGCAGAATTACCAGGCGAACACTCCCTTTGATCCTCGCATTGCAAAGAAAGTAGACCCTCACAAGGACGATAGGATTCAGATGTTGTAACCCTAAACTGTGGGCGAATTATACACCAAATTTACAGATGGCCGCCATGAACAAAGACTTTAGTTTTAAAGATGCAGATAATAGATAAAAGTACTGAGGGTTTTGATACCACTGCAGGAATTGCCAAGCATTACCAAAAGTTAATAAAAATGCATCTTCTTGAATGAAAGCTTTTATTGCTGAAGCAGATTGAACGAATTGAAGTTTATTTTAACAAAAAAAGATGTAAATAACAGGATTTGACAGAGCCGTTTCCAGCTTTGTAAAACTCTAATTTCTTTTCTAACTCTTTCCAATGAAATTGAAGATAAAATATTTTCCTACAGTAAAACAGGACGACTACTTACAACCTACTTCTTATTATTAGTAGGGTACCTGTAATTACTTTCCCTCAAAATATCACCTCATGTGCGACGACAGCACCGCTGTTTCATGCCTTTTTAGGGCCAATCTTGGTCATGCGAATTGCGAAACTGCTGAGACATTGGAAAACAGCAAAAAAACTGACGTCACAGTTATTACTACTATCCTCTTTTTTGCAGGTTAACAACGCTGACAAAAATACGAAGAAAAAATGCTACTAAGGGAACTCAAATTGAGAGGGTTTGAACCTAAAAAAAACTTAAAACTGGGCTGCTATCAAAAACAGCCGTATATCACGAAAACTGAGCAGTTTATTACAGTGAAATTAAATAAACCTCCCGCTTTAAAAGTCCAGAGAACAAAAGTACTTCGTCAACCCTCACTGCTTCCCCTGTCGAAGCAAGAGAACCTTTGCTCTCCTCAGGCTTAGCAGTACCTTCACACCAAACTGTGAACTGACTCCAGCCAAATGCAAGAACATAAAAGCATCATACAACTATAGCAAACACTTACAAGAGAAATCCGCTCACCTCCCACACAAAACCCCTATCACGAAGCTGCGATCGACATCATGAATCATACACAAAAGACGAGCAGCCAGCTCTAACTTGTCTTCGCAGATTGAAGACGACTCCATCAGCAATTATCGAGGACAGAATTCCCCCCTGAAACTTACAGCTACGGACTAGCAGCACATTCACACCAAAAATCATCACGAAACACCTGCTTACGCATCTCCAAATCAAATCGGAAGACAACACTGGTATGCGGTAAGTCAAATAGACCCAATAAAAATAAATTGTCTTCACGTTAAATCAGTTGATACTGCACACTAAAATGGGCGTCGTAACGACATCTTTATTAAGCAGTTTCAAATGAGAATGCATTAAATGGAAATACAATCTGTTCGATTAAAAAATCTACAAATGTCTTCATCTACAGCAAAATTACAACAAATTCCAATTTACAGTAAAGCAAGTTAGCCATTGCCATCACAAATCTTCTGTTTCAACATAAAAATGCAATATTCACGGAAATTACAAACCGAACTGCTTTGCAAATAAAGCGATGTAACATGCCTTACCCAGAACAAGGGTAATACCAATTAGTCGTGAGCTCCAGACGTTTAAATTAAACGAACAACCTCGTAAAGCATGTATAAAAGTTTTAATAGAACTAATAACTAGAGTAAAAGAACTGCAACGAATATTAGGAAAGTTGACTTCCCAAGAAATACCAAAACTTTTTGCACAAGATAAACAATATAAACCAACACTGTTACTAATATTACTCCCAAAACACTCTTAAAGAGCGGCTAAAACCGAGTGCGATGTTAACCTACTCTATACCGGGGCTTGAAGGAAGGCTCCCAAGTCAACCGTAGTAAAGTATAATTAAAGAACCCAACAATTTATAACTCACCAAAAGTGTGACAACAAGCAAAAAAGCCATTAGTCATGCAGAAGCACAAGCAGCAGACACTCAAACCCAATAAAGCTTTGAAAGCGCACTATTACCATAACAAACAAGATAAATAAAGTATTTAGACGTGGAGCTTGAAGAGATTCAACAAAAGCAAAAAAAGTAGAAATATTCTTTAAAATAACAATTAACTTCAGCAAACCCGTAGTTACTTTGCATAGATCTCCAAACAATTTCTGGCACCTAAAACATTTCTACTTGGCAATAATCTTTCACGCCTCAATACATTTCAATCCTCCAATTGCTCAAGAGTATACAAAATACACGATATCCAGAAAAAAGGCAGTAGAATAAAAAATACACGCAAACAGACAAATAAACAAATAAAATTCTTGATAAATAAATGAATAAATATACAGATTCAGTTGAAACAGTCTTCATAAAGCCTAACAACTTTTATATCTTTCTGAAAGATTACTAAGTCATTTCCCCCTAAGTTGTATCACGCAAATTCATTTAGATGCAAGATGTAATTTTTTTAAAAAGGACAAATTTAGAAACCACAAAAATTAAACTAATTGGTGAAAGAAGTTTCACGGTCTATTAATTAAAATTTAATGAAATGGTCGTTGTAAAAAGCATAAGACGAATCATACCCTTTTCCGAGTAGAGATCCAATAAGTCAACGTAGGATAAAGCAGTACTTCCATCAAACAGAAAAGATTTTTGATTGTATCAACGATCAGCTTTACATACCATGATAAAAGAAATTATCAAAAAATTTACAAGTCAGAAAACAAATTAGCAGAATAATTTAGACACGAGAGTAAAGCGGGCATTGAAAAAGAAATTGCACGCTGAAAGCAGCTAATTACAGTTAATATTTGATCTCAAACTGCTGTAACAGGACCCAGTTCTGCAGCTAAAGCTGCAGCATGAGCAGCTTTTAAAGTTTGCACCTCATTAGAATGAACTTTTTGAAAGGCAGTTCCACCAACAATAGGAGCCATACGTTTTGTAAACTCAATATAGTTTTTCTGCAGCTCATTCTGAAATTTTTTTAGTTGTAGCCGAAACCACTGTATGAAGAATTGTAACCAAAATAACTTTTCAAAAGAAAAAGATACATACTTGATATGCCACTTGATCAGGTTGAATCAATTGCTTGTTTTTATGTAAAGCATCAGCACACTTCTTAGAGAAATCTTTGAAGCATAAACGCAACTTATTTTGCAGCTTGCCAGTAGGCTTCCCACTTTCGGTCAGGCCGATATTCGTTAAGAATACATTAGCAATCTAAATAATTTTTGACCAAAAGGTGAACTGCCAGAACATTTGAATAGAAGGGAATAAAACTTTTTTACTTCCATAGGACCCTGGTTCACCGTAGTACCAATACAACCCTGTAACACCATTTGCAGCATCTTTGCATCTGGAGGGTTTTGAGCCGTAGCTGCTGCTAGCTCTCTAATTTTCTTCTGAATATCCTCAATAGCAACTTCGATAGGAGTCAGCACAAATACCTCACGATTTATAACGCGTAGCCTAGTTTTCACGTAAGGAAAGCTAAAAAGTACCTTATGTTTGTTTAACTGCAAAAAATCAACACTTACGAGAACCCCAAAAAGCAACCAAAAACAATTCTTTTAACATATAAAAAATTAGAAAACTGATCAAAGAAAAAATTAGATTTAACCTGCACTGCGTGGTTAGTATAGTACGTCTTTTGTACTGATCTTTTAAATCACCGTGCGGACGTCCATCTTTGGTGAAAGGTGTTGCATACACGAAACGACTTAGGTTGTGATTCCGTTCAAAATGAGTTTGCCTGCGTCGTCTCTCCCACTTCTCAAGGTAAGGCTCAACGTAAGTTATCTGTAGGTATGCTTTTGCTGAGTTAAGACGATTCCGATCAACCTAAAAAAAAAAAA